CTTTTAAAATATTTCGAAAACCTTCGTATATAAAAACTAAATAAAAGTTTTAGTAAGTAAACAAACAAAAAAAGTTTTAAATATCATAAAATATATTTTATAAAGATAAAGACCTTCATATACTTTTAAAATATTTCAAAAACCTTCGAATATTATAAACCAGTAAAGACTTAGTAAACAACAAAATATCTTTAAAAAATTTTTTTTGGCTGTAAAGTATGCAAAGCTTTCGTCAATTAAATTATTTTTGAAAAGTTGTATAAAATAAAGCAAATAAAAAATTTTAGAAAGATATCAAAAATATTTGTCAAAAAAAAAGTTATTTGATGTTTATCGTATATATTTGTTGTAATGTAAATAAAGTTGAAAAAAAAAAGATTAAAGTTGAAAAAAAAAAGATGATCATTGTTTATATAGAGAATTTTTTAATGATTACGTGTATAACCATATTTATTTTATTATAAAAAAACATTCATAAATTATAAAAGAGTGTTGCTAATTTGCTCCCCTAGTGACATAACCCTATTATATAATATAAATTTAACCAATAGTATTAAACTTGTCCAAACAATCGAATCGGCTCTAATAGTCATGTGACAGGTAATATATTAGTTAGAGTTTGGAACCAGTTTTATTTTCTATATATCAAAACCGATCAAAACCGGTTTAGCATATAAAAACAAACTGGTTCCAAAATAATATTATAAGGATACATTATTCGAAGATAGTATTCTCTTAACATGTTTAGTACAAATTAATATACTGTAGCATCAATTTTAACATTTTATTGAATGTTTTTAGCCTAATACAACATTTACTCAAAAAAAAGATCATTTCCACCAAGTATACATGTATGTACGTTATATATACAGTAAGTATAACCAAAAAAAAAGTAGAATCTATATTACTTAATTGGACATCAGAGGCATAGTGCCCTGCTTGTCCACAATTATAGCAATGTCTTACACATTTTGGATTACTATTACTTGAATTTTGAGCTGTCTTATTATTATCATTTAATACTTAAACGTTTTAAACACATTTTACTTTCTTCGTTAATAGCTCTTCACCTCCGGATTTATACCATTTAGCTTGATGTCTTTTATGTTGTACTCGTATTAGATTTTTAATATTATTAATATAATCGATATTTTCTTGCTATTTATTTAATTCAATCTTTGTCTTTTCAATAAATTTTTTCAAGTAATTAATGAATTCATTAACATTATTAGCTCTAATTGCACAATCGAGTACTTTTTTTGTATAACCTAAGCCAAAACTATATTTTTGTTTTGGGTTTTGTTTTGGTTCAGTATAAGCTATTTTTCTGATAGTTCTAAGGTAATCAAATAGCAATGGCTAAGAAGGAAGCTGGCTTAGTCTATTTTCAACAATTTTGTACATCGGAATTAAAGAATGTATTTGCTAGTCAATTCTAGCTTTTTTGTCATTATATCATTGTTGGAGAATAAGAGTGATGTGAAAATATGCTTTATGGGAATAAGACATGACTCTAAAAAAATGCTTGCAGACAATGCCCCAGTTGATAATCCAAAGACAAGTACATAAGTGAGACCCATCACCAAGTACAATAACATATTAGAGCATTGTCTGTAAAGATTGATGTCGAGTTACTTTCCATACTTCTATAATATTATCTGGCCAATTAATAAAGAAAATAAGGCTTGTAGTTGGTCATAATCTGTATCCGTTTCTAATTCATGAAGATTATTTGCTGTCTAATAAGAAAAAAGACAACAGGCAGATTATACAACATTCAAATTCTGGTTACTAATATTAATGTTAACTGCATTGATTATATATATTTCTCTAGATTTACCAATAATACCCTTACCTCAAATAATGAAGACCAATTATTGATTAAAAAAGCATCGTAACAAAGTAATTGTGCCATCTAATCACATTGTTTTTGAAATAATTGTGGTGTGATATACTCTCGTAGTAACTTGTTTAATTCAGAAAAGTATTCCTCTATTATGTTAGATAATCATCTTGTTGATATTTCGTTTTTATATTTATTAATTATTGCTTTTTCTGATTGTCTATCAAACGTTGCTTGGATCTCTTCAACATTAGCTAACCATGAACATTGATTCAATTTTTCTTTAACTATTTTGTTAGAAACTTCAGCTCTTTGTGTACTATTAATTCCCGCAATAAAATATCTGTTGATCGAATAGCTAGTCTAGCTATGTTTGCAAGGATATAAAGTGTGCATGAGGTATTCTTTGCCAAGAGGATATTCATCAATAATTTTAGCACATCTCAAATTGTCTAGGACAAAGAGAATTACGCATTGCTAAGAATTTAGACCGGAATTCTTCAAATTGATTATCTAACTTTTTTCTCAATTTTTTTTTTAAATTTAGATCTATATAAAATATACAATGAAAAGTTAAGTTTCCTGATAATTATTTTTCATGGCTGATATGAAGGCTGGATTAGCGTCTGAAAATATAACTATAGAAATAATTGAACAAGCAGATTTTAGTTCTTCTAAAACCCAGGAAAATGTCATTTTAGTTTCATCTTCAAGAAGTGCTGCAGCAACTATTAAATTTCCAAAATTATTGTCTACTACTATGACTAACAATAGAACCATATTGAACTGATTAGTTTTGGATGTTGTATCAATGACTACAACATCGTAAAATCTTTCATAAACCTGTATTTGAGCCAGTGACATCCAAAATAATCCTGCTAGTCTTCTATCATCATCAAATCGGGGCTTCGTTACCTATAATGGATTATTATCCTTTTTTATATATAAATTATTTAAGGTTTGGCAAGCATCATTTTTTGGGTTTTGTTTGTTTTTTGTAACATTGTATAGCATTGCTTAGATCTTTTTTATTGATCTTTTTGTCAGGAAATAATGCTACAAGTAAATTATATTGCATTACTATGCCTAATTTTACATGAATAATCCAGAACTCGATTTGGTTTAGTATTTCATCTGTTAAATATCAAAATCTTGGTGCTATTTTAGTGATAAAAGGGTTCATAAGATGGTTGTGTTTACCTACAATAGTATTTATTTTAACTCCAAGTGCAGTCTTAGGGAATGACATATTAACATGCCAGAAACAACCGATTATCTCTGAATCTCTTTCTCTTCTAGCCTCTATTAAAATAGCTTTTTTAGCTTCATGCTTATATGCTTGGGTGCATTCAAAAGTTCGACGGCGTATTATACTATTATCTGTTGAATTAGTAGTACAATGTCATTTACGGAAACAAAATCCTTCTTGCTTTGCATATTTTTCAAGGTATGATTCAGCAAGTTTTTACGTATCAAATTCCATACCTTCATTTAGTTCTAATTTATGTAACCTTTCATTTTCGTCTTCAGATTCTTTATATTGAACACTGGTAGTATCATCGTTTCTAGATTTGTCTTCTAAGAATATAAAGATAAAAAAAAGTTAAAATATTTTAGTGACATGATCACACTTAGAAAGTAGTAGAAACCTAATTAAAATATTAAAAATTCAAAACTAACTAGCTTCATTATTAACCAGAAAATTGTAGGAATGATTCTCAATGGTCAAATTATCTTTGAACAAAATATTGAATGGTTAAATATACATCAAGGTTATGTTAAATAAAAGCAACCATAATTCGATCAAAAAAGCAAAACAAACCAGTGGCATTGCTAGTCTCAAAACTATATAGATAAGTTTCATTATCTTCATTCAAATAATTTAATGTATTATTTGACTTGAAATTATGCTAATAATTTTCTGTAGTTAAAGCATTTTTGAACAATATATTATAGTAATAATCAAAACAACACAATTGAAAATAAAACAAACCGACGATACTGTTACTTCCAAAGTCATCATTAAACAAAGAATACATATGATAATATTGAAAGGTTGAGAATTCCATTGCATATAACAAGGTAAGTAAAAGCTAATTTGGTTTGAAAGAAGTGTAATCAATAAAGTGTAATCAAAAAATAGCATGTTCAAAAAAGAAGTGTAATTAAAAAAAAAAAAGCAATCATAAAAGAAATAAGATCAACAAAAGTGCGAATAATATAAAAAAAGTGTAATTAGGGAAGAAGGAAGTACAAAAAAAGAAATTTGATCAAAAAAAAGTACGATCAAGAAGGAAGTATGATCAAAAGAAGTGTGGTAAAGAAAAAGTGCAATCAAGCGATCATGTGATTAAGAAAAAAAGTGCGATCAAGAAAGAAATATGATCAAAGCAAAATCAGCAACAGATTATAAATAATTATATGGTTACATCATAGATACGATTTATAAAAAATAAATACAGATTAAAATTTATTATATTAACCACTCTCTCACATTAATAAATCTCGACAGATTATAATTATATAGTTACATCATAGATATGATTTATAAAAAATAATCACGGATTAAAATTTATTATATTAATCACCCTCTTGCATTAATAAATCTTATAAATTCAATTTACTTCATAAGTTAAAATATATAATATTAACCTATAGTTAAAATTATTAATTTTAACCATGGGTGAAAATTAGTTTTATTTATTATAAAATATATTTAAAAATATTTAAAAAGAATAAAAAAAACAAAAAAATTTTAAAAAATTTTAAAATATGTATAACACTATGCTATTATTTATCTATCCTATTATCGTCATTTTCAGCAGTTTTCTTACTGTTTTTTTTGGTTTAACTGTGCTTGTAGCAGCAGTTTTTCGAACAACTTTGGCCTTTTTTTGTTTTTTTTGACTTGATGAAGTTTTATGTTAAATTAATTAATAAAGTTAATTTACATAAAAGTAAAAATATTGTTAAATTATTATATGAATTTAGAACTTACGCCTGATGATTCACCATGTTCTTCTTTGGTAACTTGCATAATTTCTCGTTTCCTTGAAGACTATAAAAATTGTATATAAAATATTAGTTATAAAATTTATTTTAATCATAGTAATAAATTATAATAATTACTCTTGTTTCACGTGAGACGTCAAAACTTTTCATTGCAGCCTTCTCTTGAGTACTTTGTTCTTTAGACGCAACTTTCTAAATATTTCTTTTAGCCAGCGCAACCTTACTTTGTACTTCTGAAGTTGCTAGCACAACCTTACTTTGAACATCAGCAATTTCCGAAACTTCACTAGATTTAGTTGTCTAAAAATTTTATAAGTAAATTAGTTATAAAATAAAAATTATTGTAATATTATTATTATACTTCAGAAACTTTAGTTGGGGCAGGTGGTTGCTGTTTTGGAGTAGGGGTAGGTGTTTGCTGTTTTGAAGTTGGGGCAGGTGGAGTTGGGGCAGGTGTTTTCTTTAGGGCAGGTGTTTTCTTTGGACAGGTGTTTTCTTTGGGGCAAGTATAGTTGGGGCAGGTGGAGTTGGGACAGGAGGCTGGTTAGGTTTAGGAGTAGGGGCAGGTGGATCCTGTGAATCGTCTTTTGCACTTCTGGAAGTGCTGTCACTATTGCTACTACTGCCGCTGCTGCCATCATTTTTGCTGTTACTGCTACCGCTGCTGCTGCTACTACTACTATTTGACTTGTTACTATCATCATCATTATCATCTGACTTTTTACTAGCATCTTCTTTAATATCAAAAACCACAAAAATTTCACCACTATCAAGTATAGCCTACAAAATGTACAATATATAATTAAATTATGTAATTCATAAAAATTATACGAAAAATTTCGAATATTCTTATTTTTTTTTTTTTTTTTTTTATTTTTTATTTTTTAAATATTTGAAACTTTTCAACAACTATAAAACTTAGATATAAAATTTTTACCTTATTTTTTTCTATTCGTTCTTTCATAATTTTCTTCTCAATAGTTATTTTTTTATAACTGGGGCTTAGCTGGGCTTGGGCTACACCAATAGCAAAAGCCAATATACCCATTTCCTGCTCCTCTTTTGGAAATACTTTCTGCAATATTCGCAAAATGTATGTGTTATCTGGATCATTTGCGACTATTGGTGAAAATATTTTTTTATATGTGTCCTTTGTTTTTTGTAACTTCTTCTAATCTTCGATCTCCTTAGGGATAGTATTGCTGTCGATTCTTGTTAGCAAGCTATCTCTATATACTTTAAACACCGCATTTTTTACCTTAGTGGTAAGAGTGCCACATTTGGAATGCATAGTCTTAAGAAGCTATAATAATAATTAAATATAATTAATATAAAAAAAAAATTAAAACTTATAAA